TTCCAGCTTCTCTTACCCTCCACAGGAATTCTCGACAGTATCTATTAACAGCCTCTGTAATACTCCTAGGTAAGATAAACACTGAGACCCAATATACTTGCAAATGGAGTAAAACCGAGTTTATTAGTTGTAACCTTGCTACGTAGGATAAATTGCTAGTACTCCAGCACTTTAATCTGGCAACTATACAGTCTATCAGGGTCTGACAATCCTACTGATTCCATTTCTTGGGTGATAATGGTAACCCTAAGTACTTCATAGGAAATACTCCTTCACATTTCTCCAATTTTCACTTTCAACAATTCTGGTACTCCCGCAAAATACATCGAAGATTGCCTTAGGTTAGATTGTGTTCCTGATGTTGCTGAGAATTGTTTAAAACACCTCATTATCGCCATAACAGTAACTTTATCAGGTTTATAGAATACAAGTAAGTCATCAGTGAAACAAATGTTCGTCATCTTTAGCTCCTTACACTTTGGGTGGAATCTAAATTTCGAATTCTTAGCTATTATCTTTAGTTGTCTCGTAAATTACTCCATTACAATTACAAATAATAAAGGAGACATAGGGTCTCCTTGTCGTAATCCCCTTTTACACTAGAAGCACCCTACTGTGCTGCCATTTAAACATAACAAGAAGGATGGTGTGGTTGGTGTGGTAATACACAACATAATCCATCTCACAAAGGTAGCAGGAAACCCAAATCCTATCAAACACTATTCTACAAACCCCCATTCTACCGAATCATAGGTTTTTTTTTAAAAAAAAAAATCAATTTTCATAGTACATCTACCACTCATATTCTGCCTACCATACAGTCTAATGAGCTCTTGCGTAATCAAGATATTATGCAAAATAAGCCTATCTTTTATGAAAGCACTCGGGTAATCTGCCACTATTTTATGCAACACTTCACTAAGTCTATTACTAATGATCTTATTAATACACTTATATACAAAATTATATTGGCCTATATTGGCTAGCATCAATAGGGTTCACAACTTTAGGGATTAAGGCAATAATGGTAGCATTCAGTTGTTTAAGAATCTGACCTTTATCAAAGAACTTGAGCACATCAGCAATGAGATCCTGTCCAGTAATGCTCCATGTCTCCTTAAAGAAATAGCTCCCAAACCCGTCTGGTCCCGGGCTTTTGTTTCGGTGTATTCCCCATATCGCTTTTTTAATCTCTTTCTTGGTGATTGGCCTGATTAGTCTCAGCTGTTCCTCTGTATTCAGTTTGCTCCCATATGCAAAGACCCCCTTATTAGCTGGTTCTCTTTCGGCTGATTGCCCTAATAATCCCTAAAAAAACTTTGTGAAGTGCTCCTCAATTCCATTCCAGTCCCGAATCACTTCTCCATCTGCATTAGCAATGCTCCAGAACCCAGGTCTTATCTCATATCTTATCTTATTAGTTGGCTATTGTATTTAAATTGGAGATCAAAGGAATTTAGTCTGTCAAACCCTAAACCTAATTTGGTCCTATATAGATGAAGGACGTAAACCCAACTATGAAACCCCAAATACAATTATACTCATCCAAAATCTCTACACTATTTTATCCATTCAACTGAAATTATGATGGCAAAAAAAAAAAAATGATGGCAAAGGCAAAAAAAAGCCGGCAGCGGGAAAGAAGCCAGCGGTATGACGTCAAAGGGAGAGAAGAAGCCCGCGGCAGGGAAGAAGCCAGCGGAAGCCATCCAAGGCAGAGAAGAAGATCTCAGCATAGGAAGACTGGTTGTGTCAATTATGCCAGTTGTGTCGATTTGAAGAAGAAGCAAGACGCGAGATGTACAAGATTTCTCCGGCAAGGCCCTGGCAAATCATGAACAGCTCCATCAACGATGCCAGCCTCGCTCACAACAACAAGAAGCCAACGATAACCTCTCGAGAGATCCGGACGTAGGTGATGCTTTTGTTTCCCGTCGAATTGGCTAAACACGCCGATCTGAACGGACCAATCCACCAAGGTTGTCACCAAGTTCTCCAGCGCTTCAGATTTTCTTGGTTTTTAATGTTTTCAAATAATTAGGAAGTATTTGTTGATTTCTGATTGTAATTGTGATTTTTGTTTGATATTGAGGACAAAGATTGTGATAAATTTTTGTTAGGAAAAGAAAAGTCTCTCTCTCTTCATGGCCTTCTTTGTATTTTCTTTTAATCTATTTGAATGGAAGGATATACAAATGTTGTTTCCCAGGCTCCATATAGCATTACGTAATTCAATCTAACCAGATTATGTAATTCAGTTTCCTATTTGTCCTTTAGGTGCGTACATGAATGGGCAGCCTGGTTGATGCAGCCTAAGGATTCTATAGTTGATTGTTATGGCTTAGAATCTTATTGATAGTTTAGAGGTTATTGGACATGTGTTTGGTGTGTGTTAGACGTAGTCATAGTGCGAGTATGGCTTGATGTGAGTTTGGTAATGCAGAAAACAAAATTTTTTCAATGCGCCATGATGATCAAGATAATGATACAGAAAAATGTTATTCAAAAATTTTTGGTAATGGTTTAAGTGATTTACATAGCTAATAATGATTGACATTTTTAAGATTTGTACTTCTATGTAAAATCCTCTATTCTCTGTGGATGAACTTTTCCAATTACAAAATTATTTTTCTTATGGTTTCTTCGATTATGAATTTTCCATATTTCTGTAAATGACTATGCTTCAAAGTGTTTAGTGCCCTTTATTTTTTTGGGTAGTGCCCCTATTGATCGGCCATATGGTTCCACGGGTTGTTCTCCAACTTGCTGTACCTTTTGGAAGTCAATGAATCTCTAAAGAAGTTTAATATGATGTTTTGAATAATGAAAGTAGTTACATTTTGTCATATTATCTATATATGTACTATAGTCAGTATTGTTAATTCTCAAGCATAATTGCTGCTAGAAATAGGATTGTGATACGGGTTGTTCATTTGATTCAGGATTGTGATATTAAGATTATTATGTCCAAAAAATTGCTTTTAGATTTAGCTTCCCTCATAAACTTATTTTTTCAAACATAATTTTGTAATAGAGATAGTACATATTTTTTCATTAACAAATAGTAATAATCGACTTCAAACACAGAACGGGTGCCCGGGCCAAGTTGTAATATAGATGTATTTTTTGTTGAATTATGAATTATTTTTTTCAGTAACAAATAGAAATATATGTATATATGTATATATGATTATATGTATTTTGTTTGAATTATAAATAATTTTTTTCATTAACAAATTTAAAACACAAGCATCTAGTATGGAATAAAGAAGGCCAGCCTCATATTTTCACTCACATCAAATACAAACGATGCCAAAGCAGGATCTCATCAGAAAAAATTAAATACAATCTCAAAATAGTCACATTTGGAAGGATTTAAGCAAATATCGATGTTTCTGGCCTTCAAAAATTGAAGCAGAGCATCCATTACGGGTCCTCTATAACGAAAACCTTCTATAGTCCGACTCTGCAGATGGGTTCTATCCATATTATCAGCCCTAATCAGTGCCTTAACATACTTTCTTTAAGTGCTGAATGCTGATGTGTTTGATTTCGATGCAGCTGGGGAAAAATTTAGTACCAAAAGTAGTAAGTAATGATATTCCTAACTTGTACTGAACATTCAGTAATAATATACTAATCCCAACCAAAAGTTAACAACCCCACCCTACCAACAACACTCTGCAGCAATGCTACGACATTGTATTTTGTCAAAACAGACCGTTCGTATTTTTTCATGCACTAATTACTAAGGTAAACAACAAACTTGGAGAAGAAAAAATTCAACCGTCAATGCCCCAAAAAATTAAGCGGAACAAAAACAGGAATAGTAAGAGTTTCTAACAAAAATGGCTATAGTAAGAGTAATGATATTCTTCTCTACAAATATAACTCTACTCATAACTCTACTTACATGCTTATTTATTTGGCATTCCACATCATCTCTCTAATTATTAGTATTTCTATTTACAAAAAAAGAAATAATTTCAAAAGAAATTTTATCCTTTTCTTTCGGTTATTTTCTTTTTGTTTCCCTTTCACCATTCATAATCAGAGAATTTTCCTCTCACAAAATTATGAGAATCATCGTTATCAAAATTCTCATCATTCGCCCAATTGTAACAAAAAAATATAAATAAAAAAAATTCTCATTTGCCCAAAAAATCAAATTAATTGAAGCCATGCCATTGTTGGGATTCTAATGGATATCTTCCAGTAGTCTTGATTCTGAATCAAACTATCCAATCTCCCATCTATGTGAGTGGTTAACTAACCTACTGCGCAAAAATTCTCAGAAGCAACAAAAACTAATACCTCATACATTAACCTAAAATTTGGCAAGATTATGTGAGGTAGACGTTAACGAAGAATGGTTTTCGATTGGTGATGGGAACCTAAATTTTTTGTCTTCTTTTTCGTTTGAGGGTTATGCAACGCAGAGGTGAAAAGGGAAGAAAAAAAAGTGGATGAAACTTGAAAGTTTCGCTTGAAATTGATTTTTTTTTAGTACAAAGATAAAAAAATAAATTTCAATTTTTTGTAAAAAGAAAAAATAATAATTATGGAGGTGATGTGGAATGCCAACTAGATTAGACATGTAAGTAGAGTTATAAATACAGTTATATATATATATATATATATATATATTGTTCATGAAATTGTCCAAGAATGCTTCACTAACAGTGGTTTCGAACAATTTTATTCTCTCCCAAGATGTTCTCGAGACTCACATTCTTGAGATGTTCACAATCAATCAGGGAGAAAAAAGACATGGTGAACAGTTGCGACAAAGGCAAAATTTCGAAGTCCGAATATTTTTGAAGGAAAAGTAGATGCGTAAATCATATAATAGAATTCAAAACAAATTGATCATCTGTTAACGACAGAATCAAAATGTTACATCAAAATGTTAATCAAAGCAGAAGATCAATACTCAAAATTAAGGACAGAATCAAAATTGACATCAAAGCCTACACACTGTGTAAACGTAAACTATGATTGTTTATTTAATGTTCTTAAACTCTAAATAACACTAAAAACTGAAACAAGATTAAGCAAATGCTCCCACGAAAGACCAATGAGAAACTCAATACTTAGTCGACCTCTTCAATCTTGGGACCAGCTCCAGCGGAAGAAGGAACACTGCTGTTATCCATGGATGCAGCACCATCAGCACCTTGGTACATCTTGGCGATGATCGGGTTGCAAACCCCTTCCAGCTCCTTCATTTTGTCCTCAAACTCATCAATTTCAGCAAGTTGGTTGCTCTCCAGCCACTGGATGCTGGCCTCAACAGCATCCTCAATCTTATTCTTGTCAGCCGGGGCGAGCTTGGAACCGACTTTCTCATCCTTCACCGTGTTTCTCATGTTGTAGACATAGTTTTCCAAGGCATTCTTGGCCTCAACCTTCTTCCTGTGCTCTTCATCCTCTGCCTTGAATTTCTCCCTTTCTTGTTGCAACCTCTCGATTTCTTCCTTGGAAAGCCTACCTTCGTTATTAGTAATGGTGATCTTGTTCCTCTTTCCAGTGGTCTTCTCCTCAGCAGACACGTTTAGGATGCCATTGGCGTCGATGTCAAAACACACCGAAATCTGTGGAACACCCCTTGGAGCCGGAGGAATGCCCGAAAGCTCGAATTTACCCAGCAAGTGATTGTCCTGAGTCCGCGCCCTCTCTCCCTGATACACCTGAATCAACACACCGGGTTGGTTGTCGGAGTATGTCGAGAAAACCTGCTCCTTCTTGGTGGGAATGGTAGTATTGCTTGGAATCAAAATAGTCATGAGGCCACCCGCGGTTTCAAGACCGAGAGAAAGCGGGGCGATATCCAAAAGCAAGATATCTTTCACCTTCTCATTATCCTCACCACCACTCAGAATCGCAGCTTGGACTGCAGCACCATAAGCAACCGCCTCGTCCGGGTTGATGCTCTTGCAAAGCTCTTTCCCATTGAAGAAGTCCTGAAGGAGTTGTTGGACTTTGGGGATTCTAGTAGAACCCCCAACAAGAACAACATCGTGAATGGAGTTCTTGTCCATCTTGGCATCCCTCAAACACTTCTCCACCGGGTCCATACATTTTCGGAACAGATCCATATTGAGTTCCTCGAACCTGGCCCGAGTGATGGTTGAATAGAAATCAATGCCTTCGAAAAGTGAATCAATCTCAATGGTTGTCTGAGCAGTGGATGAAAGTGTCCGCTTTGCTCTCTCGCAAGAGGTACGCAACCTTCTAAGCGCCCGAGGGTTACCGCTGATATCTTTCCTGTTCTTCCTCTTAAATTCCTGAACAAAGTGATTCTCCAATCTATTGTCAAAATCTTCACCTCCAAGATGTGTGTCTCCAGCTGTGGACTTAACCTCAAATATGCCATCCTCAATGGTGAGGATCGAAACATCAAACGTTCCGCCTCCGAGGTCGAAAATCAGCACGTTTTTCTCGCCGAGACTGGTTGCCTTCTTGTCCAGACCATAAGCAATGGCAGCAGCGGTGGGTTCGTTAATGATTCGCAAGACATTGAGACCGGCGATAGCTCCGGCATCCTTGGTAGCTTGACGTTGGGAATCATTAAAATAAGCCGGAACTGTCACCACAGCATTCTTCACGGTTGTACCAAGGTAAGCCTCGGCTATCTCCTTCATCTTAATCAGCACCATGGAAGAGATCTCCTCGGCTGAAAATTGCTTTTCTTCGCCCTTGTAGGTAACAACAATCACTGGCTTTTCACCGGCTCCAGGGATGACCTTAAAAGGCCACAACCTGATATCGCTCTGAACAGACGAATCGGAAAATCTTCTTCCGATCAGCCTCTTTGCATCAAAGACGGTGTTGATCGGGTTCATGGCCACCTGATTCTTGGCCGCATCTCCGATGAGACGCTCCATGTCGGTGAAGCCGACGTAGGACGGAGTTGTCCTGTTTCCCTGATCGTTGGCGATGATCTCAACACGGTCATGCTGCCAAACGCCGACGCATGAATACGTCGTTCCGAGATCGATTCCGATTGCTTGTCCTTCACCTTTTCCTGCCATCGTTTTTCTTCTTCAGGAGAGCTTTTCTCTTCTTCTACGCGGAAAAAAAAGACGGGAGCTGAGTATTCTAGGCTTTAGTGTTGGTGACTCTTCTAGGATTTAGAAAAAAGATGTGATGGTCCATATGTTGTCTGCCGAGGGGTATATATAGTAGGATTTGTTCTCCGAAAAATGTAAGGATTAGGTAATTGCTAAAATCGCATCCGACTAATTCTAAAAGGAGTCAGAAGCTTCTAGAACTTTCTTGTCGTAAAACTCTTCCACTGACTAAGTTTCGGGAAAGTTTTAGAAGAAGCCTCCGCCGTCATTAAACCGATTTATGAAAAACTTTTCTTTTTTGTTAACAGATTGAAAAAGCGAAGCAAACCGTCTATAAACCCAAAAACGACTTCCACACGTAGTGGTGTCATGGATACTATCTCAAGGATCTGACCTTGTGGGAGAATCAGACTGTGCAGAATCATAGTTGGGCTTGGAGGAAACTGATGAGTATAAAGGAACTGCTGAAACCTGGTTTTCATGATGTCAAATGGACTGGGAATAAAAATGGCATTTATACTAGCTCAGGTTATGAGTGGCTGGGGGGGAAGGACATCGATTCTCAGTAGCATGGACTGTTTGGAACAAACTAAACATAGCTTTATATTGTGGTTGGCAATGAAGAACAGGTTATTAACCTCTGACAGGATGCAGAAGATCAACTTTGTAACTCAGCCACTGAAATGCAGGTTGTGTGATGAAGTTGATGAAAGTTTGGATCATGTTTTCTTTTAACTGTCAGTATACTCAACAGATTCTGCAACCAATAAAAGCTTGGGTGGAGTGCTAAAATATTCCAAAGGAACTGAGTAAATGGGAGAAGAATCTTAGGAAAGTTTGGGTCCAGAGCAAATGCAAGCAAGGCATCCTGTTTGGTACCCTAGCAGTAGTGGTCTAACATGTGTGGCAGCAAAGGAATGCAGCATGGCATGACTCTACACCTGAGAAAGCTAAAGTGGTAGTGAATAGGATTAAGCACGAGGTTGTTTATAGAATAAGCATTCATTGTACAAAGTTTAGATCATCAGAGAGATGTTATATAGCTAAGCTTGAAAGCTATAGGTAAGAATGAGCAAATTGTTGTAATAGTGGAATAGGTTGTAAACAGTTTCAAGTTGTTACAAATTAATATACTTAACCTGTCACCAAAAAAAAAAAAAAAAAAAGTTAGATGAACGTTACGATTATTAAGGGCTCAAAATCATATGGTAGCTTTTAAAATCCAAATTACAATATTCCGCATACTCTATTAGGAAATCGTGTATTATTTTCTTTTATGAATAGTATCGATTTTCTACAACATCTGATGGTCCTATAATTTCTGACACTTGATATAGCTGGCTTAAAATAATTGTCAAATTTTTATATTAATTTTAATGTAATGAACATGATCATTTTCAGATAGGAGCTGTATATTTCTTTTCAAATATGTGTACTAATTAACTGAATGACCGAATTGGGCTCAATTAAACCTTCGTGACGATCTGATATCAAACATTTAGATGATTCATGCAAATTTTGTTGGTATATAGAAAAAAAAAAAACAACAGTTGTCCAATCTAGTGATGTAGATTCCTGATTTGAAAAGTTACTCCGCATGAAACTGTTAGATTTAAACTATTGATTCTCTTCAAGATGTGGGCTGGAATTCAAAAACCTGTAATTTTTTAATTTGTTTTATTCAATTCCCTGAGAGGACGATCATCACCAACACAGTGGCACTCCACAATCCTAGGTATCAGGGCAGCTAATCGCAACTGATTTGTTTTAATTGGTCGAAACCACTAAAATAGCAACCTTGCTGAACTTTATATCTGTAACTTTCATAATCGAACAATCCCTTAACCTTGTCTTTGAACATATCTACCTTCTCAAAAGCAACATGCAACAAATGATAGGGCAAATCCTTTGAACAATCAATCACCCTATTAATGTCATGTTATATATTCTCATAAACAATTATAAGTCTTATGGCTAGAGGACTATAGTCGGGTGCTATCGCTAATATTACCAATAGTCATACTACGGAAAGCAATGGCCATCATTAATCAGTGATGCTTGTTGACCCGCCAATCTCCCAAATCAAGTATATGGCATATGCATAACCAATGCCGAAATTTTAACAATCAACCAAATTCTATAAGAATACTCAGGATTCACCCTCATATCCCAAATACAGTTCAACTGACTGGATTTAATACATCAAGAAATTGACATGCCTGTGTCTCCACAAATTTCCCATCAATATAGTTGTCAACTTTTAGTGGAGAAAAGTACGTATAATAGCCGTACCTTCCAAATTCGACATCAAATCGATTATGACTTCTACGGACAAAAAAATAAATACAACTTTTTAGTGATTTGATAGCTCACCATGTACATGTACAAATTATTCAACAGTATAAAGAGCGAGAATCATATAGAAATCATTCTAAATGCAAGAATCAATATCTTCCACTGAAATTATGGCATTAGATATCTCAAATACATAGAAAAAAAAGATTTTAGGAATGAAGTCAGAACTGACTAGTCTTCACCATATTCCTAGAACGATTCCAAATCCTCCTACGCACTGTTGTCCTCTTCCAATAATTCATCGTCCTCCTCCATGTTTTTCTCATCCGATGATTGCTCGTCGTCTCTTCCAATCTTCCTCCGCCTCCAGTTAATAATTATTTTTTTTTTCCTTTTGGTTAAAGGTGAATCACATGTCTATAGAACAATGAATAACTTACAAATGAAATTAATGGGTAAGCTAATGGAATAAATAAAGAAGGAAAGTTGACTACCAATCCAAAGTGCAAAGTATGAATTTCTTCAACAGAGGCCGAGCCAATAGAAACCCCAATCTGAATTCGCGAAGAGATTCGCTCAGCCATCAACATTATCATCGAATCTTCAGTCGATGCTTTCCATGAGCAGGATTCACCGAATTCAGACCAGATGTGGGATTCCCCCTTCTTCCTTCACCAACCCGTAATCCAATTCTTAATGAACATCCCGCATCCATGAGTCAAAATCAATGCCCTGGCCAAATCAATTTAACGAACATTTTTTATTCAACCCAATCAAATTAATGAACATTCTTTATTCGTCATCGAATTTATGATACATAACCATCTCAAGAAAGATTCAGAAAAAGATGTAAAAAGAATACCTTGAAAAAACCGAAATTTCCCTTTATTTTGCCAGCGGTTTCTTTCCTCTGTAATAAATTGGATCTGAATGAAATTCTAGTCGTCTGCTTCCTCTACAATCAGAGCTTCTTCCTCGGATTCGGCATGAGGTTCGGACTTTTCTGAAGCGTCCGAGGAGAAAAATCAACAGAATACATAAGGGCCTTTAGGGGCGAATCTTTCTTTAGCTACTCCCTCCGTAATTGTAGCTTCTTCCCCAGCCTTGATTATTGATTTTTTATTTTTGCTTCGGTTCGCAGTATAATCCCTGCACGTAGAGAGAAAATCACGGAATAGATTTGATTTTATGTATTTAAAATTGAAAATTAGGGGATTGTGATTGATTGGGTATAAGATTAGCACGTTTTGACTCTGTTTTATCCTTTTTAGTGTGCTGAATTACAGGAGGACGTATAGACTTACAGTAGAACTTCCATAAATAAATAGTGTTGGGACCACCAAATTTTATTAATTTAGCGAATTATTAAATAATCGATAAATTAATAAATTATTAATTTATCGATAATTTAGTAAATTATTAATTTAAAGATTTTTTTCTTTATAAACCCTACTATAATACGTAATTTTCCATCGTTTTTTTTACAATCCTAAACAAGTAAGGATTGTAACTCTTTTTAATAATAAACTCAAACCTAATAAGATGAATGTCAATCAGTTGGTGGATCATTCCGAGAAAAATGATGAATCTATAGAGGTCAAATTATTTTAGTATATTGTGGCTAGTGCCTTGAAGATGATTCAATTGAGGATAAAGGTGATGATGATTCAGTACTTTTGGCACCAGTCACACGAAAATAAGTATTCAAATCAGCAATAACTTTTCAGAATTTCTTATTGCAATTTGAGAATACAACACCAGAGCTCTCAAAGGCAATGAGACATTTCAGAATTTCTTATTGCAATTTGAGAATACAACACCAGAGCTCTCAAAGGCAATGAGACAAATCAAGGATGAAATTTCATTGAATTTGAATTTCAAGAAAAAAATAAATGTCAATAAGCTCATATTTTACAAATATTCCTAGATATTAGCATTTTTTTGGTATTTAAAATATTTATTAATTTACAGTATTGTTGGACCTATAGATATATAGGGAATTTTTTGAAACATTATTATTTTATCATTTTATCAATTTTTGTCACTTTTTGTACTGGTTCCAAGTTGGGACCGGAGAAAATTATTAATTACTAGAAATTATTAATTTATCAATTATTAATTTACCGATGTTCTACTGTACTTTCTTCCCTAAAATGAGGGATTTTCAATTTTAAAAAATTTCAGTGAGATTTTTCCTGCAAACATATGAAGCCACATGTCTCATTTTTCTTGTTTCGAATTTGTACTGTAAACGTCTGGAGGGAAAATTTTCATTCTGGTACTGACACGTGTCCTTAGTGTTTGTTGCTTTAAGTAAGTACTATAGATTGTGGTTTATTTAACCGTTAAAGTAATGAATTTGAGGGTTAAATATAAAAGGTTTTTTCTTTTATTATCTTTTTTTTGGATAAGTGTAACTACCATCTTTTTTTTTCGGATAAATTAAACCGGACTAAAATCTTTAGATTTCGGTGAGGAGATGTTTTAGGACATTTTGACACTTAAATTTTTGGATAAAAAAAGATTTTTGTTATAATGGGGGTTATAGATAGGATATCTATGGTTGAAAAATGCAATATGGCAATGAAAATATCAGATATATTCAGAGGTCTATTTGCGTTCCACCAACGAAACTTTTAAAATTATCTCATAATTATTTGGCTAATTCTCAATCTTGGTTCATTGTTCTTTTTGTGTCATTTTGTTAGAGGATATCATATGGTTCGACTGATGTTTAATATCCTCTTCTTTAATTTCTTGAGTATGTTCTATGCACTTCCTCGAATGTAATATTTAAACCGTCAGTAAAAGAGTACTATGGTTTTGTTGGTAATAACAAGAGAGTTACATCACATTAGACATGCAATTTGTACAGAATCTGTTCTATATATTTCTTGAGATTTATCTGCAATGAGAGCATACGCACTATCTAGTGCTGTAATTATTGACTATTGAATAATTAAGAACTTGTTAATGACGCTAAGGATTGTATCCTAGTGCTGCCACTGTGCTAGTCTGGAAAAAATGACTATGATCTGGTCTAGCAACTAGAGAATGTCACTATTGCTCATAGACAAAATCTTTGTGCTAGATGGTAATGATAACTTTTAACTTTCTAAGTCAAGATGGTAAAATTCTTGTCTTGGGATTTTTATTTTTAGTTCGATTTAAATCATAAATAAAAATTTAAACTAGATAATAATTTCAGGACAAAGGGAATAGTAAAATTTCATGTCGAATGAGGTGTTAATTTATTGGTAAAATCACTTTTGTTCTCAAGAAGTAGTCTTGAGTCAATTCTCCATCCAACAAATCTGTGAGGTTGGCTCTACTATAATAGTAAGTGTGGTTTTTCCTATATTTGGTAGGGTTTCTGCCGTTAAAAATTAAAAAAAAAAAAAAAGAAAAACTGTCTAGAACGAGATTTGAAGAAATTTTAATTGGAGACTGGAGATCTTGTGGAAAATTTTACAGTCTCAAAACTTTCTACATGATGGCCATCCTTATTAATTTCCGTTGGATGTGTTAAATTCCAGAACAGCATGATACACAAACAACTGGGAGACCTCCCTTCTTCACTATAATAATGGTGTGATCCAAAAGTTTTTTTGTTCCAAACACGAAAATTGACTCGAGAGTGAAGTTTGAGTTTCCATTCCATTGTTGTATGGTATAGTTTACCTAGTGTAATTTCGTTGATATTACAATAAAAAGTATGTAGTAATGTATAAATTCTCATCTTACTCCGAATGGAATTCGATCCCCACACTTTTAAAAAGATGAACTTAGCGACTTATTAGTAGACCAGGATCACATTCCCTCCGATACTTGGTTGAATTGGGTCAATGCTTTTACGCCATCTATCCGTATATATATAGTGCCATTTCGTTACTTGTGTATCATGTCCGTAGAAGCACACTTCTGCATTCTTAATCTCAGTTTCGGCCATGATGATTATCTGCCTTGGTTTTCCTTCGAAAAAAATAAAACCTTCTTTATCTAATCAATCAATCTTTGGTTTAGCCATGATGGTTATTTTACTCCACGCTTCAGCTGCGAGGATTTCAGGGAATGAGATTGATCGGCTTGCCCTGCTCGATTTCAAGCGTCAAATATCAGAAGATATCCAAATGCGGTGTTGAACTCACGGAATGATTCGGTACATCATTGCCAATTTGGTGGGAAATTTGCCAAAGGAGATAGGTTCCATGTCAAAGTTGTATACTCGGCTATGGTTGTGTTTTCAGTTACATCTAATATGTTTCAAGACTATTCCAGCAGACTTGGGCCCCCATCTCCCGAATCTGCAGGAATTTGAATTCTACGGGAATCAGTTCACTGGTAACATTCCTGCTTCAGTTTCTAACATGTCTAAACTTTGGATTCTGGAAGTTTCTTCAAATAACTTACAAGGGAGAGTTCTTAATGGTTTAGGAAATTTTCCAGATCTTGAGGTGTTCAATATCGAAGCGGATTCCTTAGGAAGTGACTCGCCTGGAGAATTGAACTTTATCGAGTCTCTAACAAACTGCAGCGACTTAAATGAACTCGCCTTTGGTGAGCATAACTTTGGAGGCAAACTGCCGAATGCAATTGGTAACCTGTCATCTCAGCTCACTGAAGTTTATATGGATCTCAATCACGTATCTGTTCCTATACATGTTGGCTTTGGGAAACTTGTCTATCTTCTCGTATTGAACTTGACACAGAACCTTTTTACAGGTGTTATTCTTAGTGATCTTTTGGAACTTCGAAATTTACAGCACTTGAGCCTAAGTCAAAACCTTTTGTCCGGAGAGGTACCATATAACTTCTACTTCTACAATATTTCATCTTCATTAGCCCTTTATTTATTAGACAACAGCTTCCAGGGTGACATATCTCGAAGCTTGCGAAATTGTCAATATTTGGGAGAGCTTTGACATTTCTTATAACAACATCACTGGGACTTTAACCCCAGAAACTCTTGGCATGCTTTTTTCACCTTCTCTAGAAATTTTGTACTTATCAGGCAACTCATGCAGTGGCTCTCTCCCTCCGGAAGTTGGAAAGCTAATCAATCTCCGTTTCTTTGATGTTTCGTACAACCAATTTTCTGGTCAAATCCCTCCAACTCTAGCAGATTGTTCAGGATTAGAGTTCTTGTAAATGCAAGGAAATAGTTTTGATGGAGTAATCCCACCAAATTTATCTAGAAATTTTGTACTTATCAGGCAACTCATGCAGTGGCTCTCTCCCTCCGGAAGTTGGAAAGCTAATCAATCTCCGTTTCTTTGATGTTTCGTACAACCAATTTTCTGGTCAAATCCCTCCAACTCTAGCAGATTGTTCAGGATTAGAGTTCTTGTAAATGCAAGGAAATAGTTTTGATGGAGTAATCCCACCAAATTTATCTTTTTTGAAAGCCATCCAACAAATTGATCTTTCAAGCAATAATCTGACTGGTCAAGTCCCTCCAGGTTTGCAGAACCTTGCATTTCTAAATTATCTGAACCTTTCATTCAATTACCTAGAAGGGAAGATACCATCTGTTGGCGTTTTTGAAAATGATAGCCAAATTTTTTTGGTTGGAAATGGCAAACTTTGTGGAGGCAAACTCGGCCTGCCACCATGCGCTGTTAAAAAAGGAAGAAAGAGAATCATGTAGCTATCCTAATCCTGGTGGTAGTCATATTAGTTTCAGCATTTACAGTTTCTGTTGCATTCCTAGTATATTGTTATCGAGTACCGGAAAAAGGACAGGTTTAAGGAGTCATCTGCAGGGATGTCAATAGAGTCAGGAGATTGAGAGTTTCTTTTCATGACCTCCATCGTGCAACAGAAGGATTTTCTTCAACCTACTTGGTTGGGTCAGGAAGCTTTGGATTTGTTTACAAAGGCCTGTTAAATCAGCACGGATACCAGCCTGTGGCGATAGAGGATCTTGACATTCAGAAACACGGGGCATCCAAAAGCTTTAAGGCAGAATGCAGGTCATTGTGTAATCTTCGCCAAAGAAATCTACTCCCTCTTTTAACGTACTATTCCAGCATTGATTTCAAAGGTCATGAGTTCAAAGCTCTAGTTTACGAGTTCATGGAAAATGGAAGCCTTGATAAGTGGCTGCAACCTGGGAATTTGGAAACATAAACAGCATCAAGAAATCTAAACCTGTTAGAAAGGATCAATATTGCAATTGATGTAGCCTCGGCTTTGGGTTACCTTCACAACCAGTCCGAGTTGGACAAGTTGGCCGTTGTTCATTGTGATATAAAACCAAGTAATGTACTTCTTGATCATGATCTTACAGCACATTTGGGCAATTTCGGACTAGCCAGACAGACTACTTCCTAAAATAGCAAAGGATGCAACCAGCACCAGCACTATTGCAATAAAAGGATCCATTGGCTATGCAGCACCAGGTAAACCTTAACTTTGCTATGCATTTCAGTCAATATTAATTGCGAAAAATAGTATATCGCACGAGTAAGGTGGTACAAATGTAGAGATTAATTGAAAATGAAATTCATCATTTTAAAACCATTGATCGTCGAGAATTGCGAATAAACTTCATATGAGTTGTGCTATTTCATGTGCATTAACTTTTATTAGTAAACAAAAAAAAAATGTTACAGAGTATGGGATGGGGCTGGAGGTTTATACTCAAGGCGATGTCTACAGCTTCGGTATTCTCTTACTAGAGATGTTCACAGGAAAGAGACCAACTGATGATTCATTTAAGGATGGGTTGGATTTGCATGATTACGTCAAGAGTGCACTGCCTTCAGAGGTTTTGAGGGTTGTAGAACCATCACTACTTTCAGTAGGAGAAGAACAAAACAGAGAAGAAGGAATGCAAGCTGCTTCAGAAGATGCGCGGGTGTACAATGATAACATAATTGAAGATCTTTTGGATGAGGCAAAGATGCAAATTGCTGAATGCCTTGTTTCTATTTTGAAGGTTGGCCTAGGATGTTCTCAAAAATCACCAAAAGATCGAACAGATATGACAGAAGTAACAAGAGCGTTACATCGCATCAAAGATGCAATTTGTGCATAATTTCTGATATGGGAAGATTTTTTTTTTTTTTTTTGGTATTACTCCCATTAATCTGGATTCGAGCCTTTAATTACATCCGGTAACGAGCATCTAAGCCGTACAACTTGCAATTAGCGAGAACCTTGAATAAGAATCTGCTAAAGACTTTAAGATCTGTATCCTAGTGCTGCTACTGTGCTCGTGAGCAAAAGAATGTTTATCTGGCAAGTGGCAACTATAGGATTTCATATCATGAGTTTTCATATCTGCAATTTCGTTTTTAGGTTTTTCTTTTTTTTTTTTTTCTTTTTCCTTTTTCTGTTTAGATTGGAGTCAAGAAATCATCGCTTTGTTCTTTTTCCCTTTTCTCTTTAAAAAAATGAGAGAGGTAGAAAAGCAAATAATAGATTCTCAGAGTACTAACACAAAAAATCACGCGATATTCATCCCAAATCCCCAATAGAAACTCTAAAAGCTGCATCATCCACCCACGAAATTTCCTCAAACCCCCACACCCTAATTCATCAAAACAATCTGCTCCGGACACAACCAAACATAGACGCAAAAATTATATCTTTCCAACATAGTACTAAATGATCTTGAGGCTTTGAAACAGAAATAAGGGTTTGATGGAGAAGAAAAGAAAGATGGGTTTTTTTACGGATCCATTTGCACTACCGGCTCAAGAACTACCAGAGGATGTAATCTTCCAGTTGTTGGCATGCTTCCAGGAAAATCCCTGATGCGATTCAAATCTGTGTGTAAATCACGGCATCTCTGGATTCGGGATCCGTATTTTGCCGAAACCCATCGTACAAATTCGCTGTCTACCGACCGCCCTGACTGCCCTCCTGTCTTCTGGTTCGCAGCTTCAGAAAACGCCAAAGTGGAGAATAGGCTATCTTTTCGGCTGAATACAGCGGAGTTTTTTCCAATAAGCTTCCGACACACAGGTTTGAACCCGGCTGCGAAGGACTGCCTTGCTGGAACATTGTTAACGGTCTAATCTGTATATGGGTTGAGGTCCGAAGTCAATTTGAATTGCTCAATCTCACATCTAGAGGAAAAATAGCTCTCCCTAAACCTTTACAATCACTGTTTCAGCCGCCCTGTTTTTTGGGATTCGATCCAATCAAAAAGCAATATAAAGTCCTTTACTATGAGGATACTGAAAGAAAGTTTTTCGTTATCACTTTGAGCATGAGCAAGAATGATAGGTGTTCGTCGTGGAGGGAGGTAGCAAGTTCAAATCAGCTCTCTATACTTGGCGGTGAACGGCATTTATAAGTGTTGGGGGCGCAATATATTGGGAAACTTATGTACTCTGTGAATGGTAAACGAACTTTCCAATATTTTGTTGTTGCAGAGGAGAAGTTTGAGTTACTTCCCGCTCCTGATCAAATGAAACACTCGGATCATTCTCCTCTGGTGTTCTTAACAGAAATCGAAGGCAATTTCACGTTGGCGATCCAATGGAACGTTGTTAGTAGTCAAGTAACTCTCTGGAGATTGATGGACAGGCAGGGTCAGGTGTGGGAAAAGTCTCAAATCAGGCTGCCAAGATATAGTCTTGTCGACCAAAAAATTGGTAGCGTTCCTGGCAGCACTTGCTGCAGCACAGATAAAAATTGTGGCCGGTTGAGCGTTTTGGTTTGCCCTCGATTTGGATAATTTGATCTTTTTTGGTTTCAAAGAGAAGAAGAACAAGTATGAAGCAACTCTTAAAGTGATTTTTAAGGGTAGGGTTGTCCCTCGTACTCTCCCCAAGCGCATCTATTCTATTACTCATCATGTCAAAAACATTCTTCCATTGAAGTTTTCCTTTGAAAATATAGCCCCAACGACTAATCAAAATTAAACGAGCAATCCCACTGATTAAACAAAGATTAAGACTATATATGCCCGTTTCTGTTCTCTGACATTATGTCAGGTAATAGTTTTTGCATTGAACTTCAACTTATGATGTTATTTAGATGTTAGGAGTTCTTTTTTCCAAATAAGAAGTGTAATTTCATTTTTTGAAGTACACTTAGTGGATTCTTGTTTATTTAAAGGACGGGCAAACTTAGATTTAGTTACCCATTCTGCTACTGCTGACAAATAAAAACAGAATTCAGTAAACACAAGATTGTTTTCGATAAAGGTTCTCGACATTTAGAAACACGGGGCATCCAAAAGCTTCGTGGTAGAATGCAGGTCATTGTCTAATCTTCGCCACAGAAGCTGCTTTCTCTTTTAACTTACTGCTCCAACATTGATTTCAAAGTATAAGAATTCAAAGCTCTAGTATCTGAATTCATGGAAAATGGAAGCCTTGATACATGGCTGCATCCAGCATCCTTGGAAACATCACGAGGATTGACGAAGCATGGATCTGCAACGACGTCTCCAGTTGATTGAACCGACGACCATGGCTGTATCAAAATCCTAAAACCTGCAAAAGAGGGCCTCGGGGTCTCCCGAGGGTAGACACTCCGATGCTTAAGTCAGTAAGAGTAATTGTAACATATGTATGAATTGTAGTGCGTAGAGCGTACCTTTGATGTAAGGGGTTGATCCCTATTTATAGTGCTAAGTTATTAAACCCTTTCTTGGTAGGAAAGTAATTAGAAACCGATCTAGAAGCTTCAAGCGGGCCGGATGGATCGCTCACCGAACTTGGACCGGCCTAGTCGCGGGCTGTGCTAATTTGGACTCGTCAAGTGCCCCTTATCAAGCCTATACTTCAAAGTCTGAAGATAGGGTGGGCTTGATAACATGAAGTATAAATTTTTTCCAAGTTCGGGAAGAACTGACTTGAATCGAGAATCTGCGACAGGTTAGCATCAAGTAGAAATCAAAGTAATGAAAGCATTAGGGCGTACCTTGTCGAATGTACGTGTCATAAAGGGCGATTGACATTTATGCCAATTTGTGAAGAAAAAAGAGTCATCGGTTCGAACTTTCGAGAGAGAAGTTAATATGCGATGATTTTAATACTCTGCCCCAGAGAGATACTAAGACAAATCCCCTGTTGCTCGAGAAGGTAATAAAGAAGTGTAATGGAGATTCCCATTACATTAAGTACAAAGATGTGTTTATCAATAACTTTCGAAGGCACAACGACTGCCAGAACGAAGAATCTGTTTGAAGAATGCAATTCATGTCATTGATCCAGACTTCAGTCGAGAACTCCTTACGATATGCTCTATGGAAATATAAAAGCAAATGGCCTACCTATTGAGATAATCGAGAAGGAAACGTAGTGGATATTCCCACTAGTCTCAAAATTTGTGTAATTAGCAGTGGTTAAAATATATCAACTGTCGAGGTGAGGAGTCTAATGGAGAACTATGACATAGGCTTCTGATTGAGAGGTAATAAACCCAAACCCTCGAGAATAACCACAGGGTAGTGGATCGAAAAACATTATGAATGAAGACTAAATACTCGTCGATGTCGAGGACATAAGTTCAAGAAAGAACACTATCTGAGATTGAATCAGCGCGTCGAGAACTTGCCCCAGCATACTCTCCTGCGAAGAAATCTGAAGACTCGAGAAGACCAGCTCGAGTGTGGTATAGAATTAGAGAGTAGAGACTGTCATCATATGAATCCTTGATTTGTCGAGGAGGGATAGAAGAGAGTAGGAGGCACCGTAGAAGATGCCGTATGTAATCACGTCAATACAGGGATAGTGAGACTCGAGAAGATTCTCTCAAGTAGAACTCCAGACAAAACTCAAGAATTGTAACCATCTGACCTTGAAGAAGGTACACAAGCATTTAAGCTTATTTATATCCGCCCAACCGACCCGCTTGCCATTTCTCATGTCCCGAGAAATAAAGCATAGAACCCTTAGTCCGGGTTTGAGAAGTATAAACCTGGTTGATGTATTGAACCCAAGTAGATGTATAATATCGTTGCTCAAACTTGAGCAAGAATCGAGGAGGTTTTACTCATTAGTGTTAGAAGAAACGATGCCCTAGTCTGAGCATCAAGTGAAGATCGTCAAGAATAGTCATAGGAAGAGATCCGTAGACCCAAGATCATCACAAAAAAAAACAAAAACACATCCTACCAAACACCTTATACACCTTCCAGACACCTTACACACTCCCGTACATAAACGTTCCTCGTTATAGATAACCCCGAAACCATTACTTATCTCGGAGCCCCCAAGTCTTGGGGTGGCATTTGGCAGACCAAGACTTTTTAGATAAGAATAGTATGAGAGTGTAATTTTTTCTACTCGGTTCGAGGCGATGCCTGCTCGAGATGCCCCCATAAACGTAGGGGTAAAGCAATAAAATGGCGTCAATCAGAAGGAGGTGGATGGCAACCACCAAAATAGAAGAAATATGCTTGTATTGACGAGGCACAAAGTGAATTCGAGAACATCGAGAATAAAGTCATTTTCATTCTGATGTGTTGAATGATATAATCCAAGAAAGTATACTCGAGAATAAGTCTAGTGCTCATTGAGGTATAAAACACGTGTTTAGGTTTGAGGGAGAGTCTTCCCCTTGTTCATGAACATGGAAATAAAGGCCTTTCTCAACACCGGATGTCGAGTACAGGGCTTATGGGTTATTTGTAAAGCGCTTATAATGGATGGATGTTAACTACACGGCTCTTTTGCAGGCGATCCTGAAGAGGATACCTTTGTACAGACGATTCTGAAGAGAATGTCTTTTGAAGGACGATCCTGAAGAGGATATCCACAAGGAAACTAGGTACGAGCTCCTTGAATACAGACGATTCTGAAGAGAATGTCTTTTTACGGACGATCCTGAAGAGGATATCCGTTCAAATGACTAGTCATGCTTAATTGAGTGTAACTGGGTATATGTAATACGCCAGCTCCCACGAGTACTTGAGTGTGCTACCACTATGTGCATTAGACTGATAGTCTATATCCCGGGTTTAAAGTATAAACTCCCTAAGGTCAGAGCGAACTTGGTGTTGCTACTATCTGCGAGAGTTACGTATCTCTGCTTATTTTGCCCCAGAATTATCGGGATATGTTTATCCTTTTATTTGAAGAAGAATCTTCTTGAATTCTTTCATCATAATTGTCGAGGATATGACATTGTGATGGTGATGCCTCTAGAGCGCAGGCACCATGAAGACCCAACACAGTTCTCTGATCCTGACAAAACACCTACTCATGCACTTGTAGATTTATTAATGAGTAATAAATTATCATAGCACGAGAAATGGCATGGAATACAATATATTATTGAGGGACTCTACCACTTTCGAAAACAGCCATTTTGAGATATAAAATGTAAGAAGTGGGAAGATCTCAGCACGATATGAATAAGACTATTAAAGCCATGGTTTGGTTAACTCACAACAGCTATGAAATAATGCTGCGGAGATCGTGCAACGCTTCTCCATGGATTTGTACTTACTACGGACCCCTGAAGAGTCATAGCTATTTGACATGAAACTGGTCCATCGGATGTGAAAGCCATTGTAGCTTTGAGGTAGCAACTACAAGTTAGTTGTTCGGCGGAGTAGATACAACGATCCATTGCGACTCCTGGCTCAAGGAAAAGAGACCATCCTGCATTATGACCTTTAGAGTGTATGACCGACAACTATAAGTACCAGAGGGGTATCTATCCCCTTTCAAAAGAAAAGGAAATGGACATGACTTGCCTATCGACTTTAAGATAGGTCGAAAAAATTTACGCGTGGAGAGTAAACAAAGCCATGTATATGTAAAAGCTGTAGCACCATGCTTCATGACTAATATGCGATGATGCAAGTAATTGGTATATAAGTCATGCATCTGAGAAAGGTTTTTCGTGAAAAAATTTTGCAAGCGAAAGTTCGAGGATACTGAGAGAGTTTGAGAAAACACATGTATCGAATATGTCATAATAAGAGTACAAGAACAATTATTCCGTGCTTATGAACTATCTTAACATTCATGTTATGATGTAGATGTTCATATATTTAGGCAATAATATTATGAGGAGGGTGTATCACTTATCTCTTGGCACTCTTCCAGGGGTATCTGCAAGTTAAAGCGGCAATACCCATTTGTCGAGAAGCTCCTCATTGTTGCCAATGGAGCTCGTTCGTGACACGTACCGTGTATCGGTCCTTTATTTGTTCGAGGCTACTATGGTCTGAGTATACTCTTGTATCATGGAGGGGCTACCTTCATTATTGATTTTCTGCAAGTTCTGCAAAAATATGAAGAAGTTCTCCCAAAACTCGAGCATGCCTTTGCGATAGAAGGCCCCGCATAACTATTGCCAAGATCATACAGTAACAGCTTTTCGAGAAACATAGAGGCAATCGACATAATGTGCTACGGTTAGATTTTAGGTTGTTAATAGCAAGTAAACTCCACTCGAGAAAGTATAGATGTCACGACTCTATGAAGAACATGTGTGAAGAAAAGGTTAATGATTATTTGATTTATGTGATTTGAGACATTAAATCAGTCATACAAGCACATTGAAGTTAGAATCAATAGAATGACGTCAGTAAAACTCGATCCTCAATTCATGAGTCCATCTCAACCTCGAAGAATCAACTGAGTGGATTAGAGAATAGCACGAAAACATGCATGTACGATATCGTCAAATAATTCATGTGATATACTATTTATTCAAGGAGATGGTATCCAGAGAACGTGTAAATGCCAAGGAGATAATAACACTTGTCTTCCT